GATGAACCACTGATACAGGGCCTCCTGCCTGTAATGTGTGCTCTGGTGAGCTTGCCTGGTGGCCTGCAGGGTAACAGCTGATGGGAGGAACCGCTGCCCATGACCATTAACCATCCATCCCAGATATTCTGGGCTTTTAAAATAGCCCCATCTCAAAGCCTTTTCCCTTTCTTCTGGGGTACATATGGGAGTGTAGGAGTTAAGGTCTGGGTGAGCTGGTAGGAGTGGCATTTGAAGTCCGTCCCCATCCTCAGCTACTTGTTTAGCTGCCATGTCTGCTCTGTTAACTCTTTGTTTTTTGCTTCTCCCTTTAGTTGGCCTCTGCAGTGAATAACTGCTACCTCCTTTGGCAGGCGTATAGCCTCCAGCAGCTGCATAATTTCCCTCCATTCTTTTTTTTTATTGGAGTATAATTGCTTTACAATGTTGTGCTATACAATGATGTGAATCATCTGTATGTATACATATATCCCCTTCCTCTTGGACCTCCCAATCCCGCACTTCTAGGTCATCACAGAGAACCGAGCTGAGCTTCCTGTGCTTTATAGCAGGTTCACACTAGCTATTTTACAGGTAGTGTATCATGTCAGTCCTAATCTCCCAATTCATCCCACCCTCCTTCCCCCCCCCCCCCCCATGTCCACATTATTCATTCTCTACGTCTGTGTCTCTATTCCTACCACGGAAATAGGTTCATCTGTACCCTTTTGCTAGATCCCACATACACACGTTAATACACAGTATTTGTTTTTGTCTTTCTGACTTACTTCACTCTGTATGACAGATTCTAGGTCCATCTGCCTCAATACAAATAACTCAATTTCGTTCCATTTTATGGCTGAGTAATATTCCATTGTAGATATATACCAAATCTTCTTTATCCATTCATCTGCTGTTGGACATTCAGGTTGTTTCCATGTGCTGGCTGTTGTAAAGAGTGCTGCAATGAACACTGGGGTACACGTGTCCTTTTGATTACGGTCTTCTCAGTATATATGCCCACTAGTGGGATTGCTAGGTCATATAGTAGTTCTATTTTTAGTTTTTTAAGGAACCTCCATACTCTTTCTCCATAGTGGTGGTCTCAATTTATATTCGCACCAACAGTGCAAGAGGGTTCCCTTTTCTCCACACCCTCTCCGGCATTTACTGTTTGTAGATTTTTTGATGATGGCCATTTTGACCGATGTGAGGTGATACCTCATGTAGTTTTGATTTGCATTTCTCTAATGATTAGTGATGTTGAGCACCTTTTCATGTGCCTCTTGGCCACCTGTATGTCTTCTTTGGTGAAATGTCTATTTAGATCTTCCACCCATTTTTTGATTGGGTTGTTCTTTTGATATTGAGCTGCATGAGCTGTCTGTATATTTTGGAGGTATACCTGGTCGGTTGCTTCATTTGCCTATATTTTCTCCCATTCTGAGGGCTGTTTTTTGTTTTGTTTGTTTATAATTTCCTTTGCTGTGCAAAAGCTTTTAAGTTTAGGTAACCCATTTGTCTTTGTTTTTATTTTCATTACTCTAGGAGGTGGGTCAAAAAAGATTTTGCTGTGGTTTATGTCAAAGAGTGTTCTTCCTATGTTTTCCTCTAAGAGTTTTATAGTGTCTGGTCTTACATTTAGGTCTCTAATCCATTTTGAGTTTATTTTTGTGTATGGTGTTAGGGAGTGTTCTAATTTCATTCTTTTCCATGTAGCTATCTAGTTTTCCCAACACCACTTATTGAAGAGGCTGTCTTTTCTCCATTGTATATTCTTGCCTCCTTTGTCATAGATTAGGTGACCATAGGTGCTTGGGTTTATCTCTGGGCTTTCTCTCCTATACCACTGATCTATATTTCTGTTTTTGTGCCAGTACCATACTGTCTTCACTACTGTAGCTCTGTAGTACAGTCTGAAGTCAGGGAGCCTGATTCCTCCAGCTCCGTTTTTCTTTCTCAAGATTGCTCTGGCTATTCGGGGTCTTTTGTGTTTCCATACAAATTATAAAAGTTTTTGTTTTAATTTGGTGAAGAATGCCATTGGTAATTTAATAGGGATTGCATTGAATCTGTAGATTGCTTTTGGTAGTCATTTTCACAGTACTGATTCTTCCAATCCAAGAACATGGTATATCTCTCCATCTGTTTGTATCATCTTTAATTTAGAGTTTTCTGCATGCAGGTCTTTGGCCTCCTTAGGTATTTTATTCTTTTTGTTGCAATGGTAAATGGGAGTGTTTCCTTAATTTCTCTTTATGATCTTTTGTTCTTAGTGCATAGGAATGCAAGAGATTTCTGTGCATTAATTTTGTATCCTACAACTTTACCAAATTCATTAGTTTTCTCGTAGCCTCTTTAGGATTCTCTATAGTATAGTACAGTACCATGTCATCTGCAAACAGTGACAGTTTTACTTCTTTTCCTCATTTCTTTTTCTTCTCTGATTGCCGTGGCTAGGACTTTTGAATATGAGTGGCGATAGTGGACATCCTTGTCTTGTAGCTGATCGTAGTGGAAATGCTTTCACTTTTTTACCTTTGAGAATGATGTTTGCTGTGGGTTTATCATATATGGCCTTTATTATGTTGAGGTAGGTTCCCTCTATGCCCACTTTCTGGAGAGTTTTTATCATAAACGGGTGTTGAATTTTGCCAAAAGCTTTTTCTGCATCTATTGAGATGATCATATGGTTTTTATTCTTTAATGTGTTAATATGGTGTATCACATTGATTTGTGTATATTGAAGAATCCTTGCATCTCTGGGATAAATCCCACTTGACCATGGTGTATGATCCTTTTAATGTGCTGTTGGATTCTGTTTGCTAGTATTTTGCTGAGGATTTTTGTGTCTACGTTCATCAGTGGTATGGCTGTAATTTTCTTTATGATATCTTTGGTGTTGGTATGAGGGTGATGGTGGCCTCGTAGAACGAGTTTGGGAATGTTACTCCCTCTGCAATTTTTTGGAAGAATTTGAGAAGGATAGGTGTTAGCTCTTCTCTAAATGTTTGATAGAATTCACCTGTGAAGCCATCTGGTCCTGGAATTTTGTTTGTTGGAAGATTTTTAATTACACTTTCAATTTTATTACTTGTGATTTGTCTGTTTATATTTTCTATTTCTTCCTGGCTCTGTCTTAGAAAGTTGTACCTTCCTAAGAATTTGTCCATTTTTTCCAGGTTGTCCATTTTATTGGCATATAGTTCTTTGTAGTAGTCTCTTATGATCCTTGTATTTCTGCAGTGTCTGTTGTAACTTCTCCTTTTTCATTTCTAATTTTATTCATTTGAGTCCTCTCCCTTTTCTTCTTGATGAGTCTAGCTAATGGTTTATCAATTTTGTTTACCTTCCTAAAGAACCAACTTTTAGTTTTTTTGACCTTTGCTATTATTTTCTTCCTTTCTGTTTCATTTATTTCTGCTCTGATCTTTATGATTTCTTTCCTTCTACTGACTTTGGGTTTTCTTCTTCTTCTCTGGTTGCTTTAGGTATGAGGTTAGATTGTTTGAGATTTTTCTTGTTTCTTGAGGTGAGACTAAATTGCTATAAACTTCCCTCCTAGAACTGCTTTTGCTGCGTCCCGTAGGTTTGGGGTTGTCATACTTTGTCATTTATTTCCATGTATTTTTTATTTCCTCCTTGATTTCTTGAGCGAGCTCTTGGTTATTTAGCAGTGCAGTGTCTAGCCTCCATGTGTGTGGGTTTAATTTTTTTCCTGTAATTGATTTCTAATCTCAGAGTGCTGTGGTTGGAAAATATACTTGATACATTTTCAGTTTTCTTAAATTTACCAAGGCTTGATTTGTGACCCAAGATGTGATCTATCCTGGAGAACATTCCGTGAGCACTTGAGAAAAAAAGTTCCACTTTTGGGTGGAAGGTCCTGTAAATATCCATTAAATCTATCTGGTCTGTTGTGTCATTTAAAGCTTGTGTTTCCTTATTTTCTGTATGGATGATCTATTAGTGTAAGTGGGGTGTTAGAAGTCCCCCACTATTATTGTGGTACTGTCAATTTCCCCTTTTATGGCTATAAGCACTTGCCTTATGTATTGAGGTGCTCCTATGTTGGATGCATAAATATTTATAATTGCTTTATTTTCCTCTTGGATTGATCCCTTGAGCATTATGTAGTGTCCTTCCTTATCTCTTGTAACCGTCTTTATTTTAAAATCGCTTTCATCTGATATGAGTACTGCTACTCCAGCTTTCTTGTGATTTCAATTTGCATGGCATATCTCTTTCCATCCCCTCAACTTTCAGTCTGCATGTGTCCCTAGGTGTGAGGTGAGTTTCTTGTAGACAACACATATGGGTCCTGTTTTTGTATCCATTCAGCCAGTCTGTGTCTTTTGGTTGGAGCATTTAATCCATTTACATTTAAGGTAATTATTGATATGTATGTTCGTATTACCATTTTCTTAATTGTTTTGGATTTTTGTGGGTCTTTTTCTTTTGTGTTTCCTGCCTAGAGATGATCCTTTAGCATTTGTTGTAAAGCTGGTTTGGTGGTGGTGAATTCTCGTAGCTTTTGCTTGTCTGTAAAGCTTTTGATTTCTCCCTCGAATCTGGATGAGAGCCTTGCTGGGTAGAGTAATCTTGGTTGTAAGTTTTTCCCTTTCATGGCTTTAAATACATCCTGCCACTCCCTCTGGCCTGCAGTTTCTGCTGAGAAATCAGCTGATAACCTTATGCAAATTCCCTTGTATGTTATTTTTTTCTTTTCCCTTGCTGCTTTTAATATTTTTTCTTTGAATTTAATTTTTGTTAGTTTGATTAATATCTCGTTTGTTTGTTCTTTAGTTCTTCTAGGTCTTTGTTAAAGACCTTGATCTGTGCCTCCATTCTATTTCTGAGATTTTGGATCATCTTTACTATCATTACTCTGAATTCTTTTTCAGGTAGGTTACCTTGCTCCTTCATCTGTAACATAGTCTGTTGTCTCTTTTTTTGATGGGTGGGACTGCGTTCCTGTTTTACTGTTTGTTCGGCCTGAGGCTTCCAGCACTGGAGTTTGCAGGCAGTTGGGTAGAGCTGGGTCTTGGTGCTGAGATGAGGACCCTCTGGGAGATCTCACTCTGATTAATATTCCCTGGGGTCTGAGGTTCTCTGGTAGTCAAGCAGTTTGGACTCTGTGCTCTTACCACAGCAGCTCAGGCCCGACTTCTGGCCTGGGAACCAAGATCTCACAAGCTGCACAGCAAAAGAAAAGAAGGCGCAGTACAATAACAAAGAATAAAAAATATATTAAGAAAAATAAAAATATAATTGAAACAACTACAACTAGGCAAAACAGAACCACAACATAAAAACAGAAAAAAAGGGGGGCGGGAACAAGCCCAAAGGAGCAGAATAACAAAGTATAAAGATTAAAATGTAATTAGAAAAATAAAAAATTAGAAAAAATATAAATGAATCAACTAGAAGGTGAAACAACCACAACCTGAAAGAAGAAAAAAAAAAGAAAAATGCCAGACAAGGCCTTGGCTGTGGAGGCAGAGTTTAGACAGGGAGTGGAACTTAGGCAGCAGCGGGCTTTAGTGGGGGCAGCAGGGCCTAGGCTCAGGTCCTTGTAGCTGGAAAAAGCCTTGGGGGTGGGACCTAGGCAGGGAAAAGCAGCATGGCCTGAGGGGTGCCTTGCACTGTGGAGTTTGGAGATAAAGGGGTGTGTGGGCAGGGTTTAGGCCCAGCAGGGTTGGAGGGGGTCTTAGGGTGCTGGGTGTAGGGGTGGGGCTTAGGCTTTGTGCAGCAGGAAGGAGACTCTGAGGGTGGAGCATTAGTCCTGGGAGCCCAAGAGGCTCCCTGGGTGCCCAAGAGGGCAGGGGAAGCACTTGTTGCTCCCTTCCATTCCTTTGCTCTCCTGAGGGTCTCCCCTGTCACTGCTGAACCCCTAATGTGGGTGGGCCCCAGTGGGTGTAGAAACTCCTCCCCTCTCAGAGGCACCTGTCCCCTCAGTCTGGTCTTTACTTTTGCTCCCCCTTCCCTCCCTCCCACTCCCTCAAGACCCACATGGCTGAAGGGGGCCTTGGTGGGCAGAGGGTCAGGCCTGGGATCTCAGCAGGCTCCCTGGGGCCCAAGTGGGTAGGGGAAATGCTGGCTGTGCTCCCTTCTGATCCTCTGCCCTCCCAACAGTCCCCCTTCTTCCCCCTTGGGGCATGGGAGCCCCTCCCCTACCCCAGCTGCCTCTCAGGGGTGCTGGTTCTGCTCCCCACCACCTCTCCCCCTTCTTCCCCACAAATCCTAAGCAGTTGCTTAGGACATCCGAGGGGGTTTTCCTTCAGTCCCTGGATGACTCCTTGAATCCTATTCTAATTTATGGGTTTCTTCGCAGCCTATTGAATGCCCTGAAGTATCAAGTCCCTGAACTGTGTGAGGTGCTGCTGACCGTTTTCCTCTTAATGGTTCCACCCCTAGAGTCCATGTCAGGAATGGCCTGGATTCAAGTCTGGTATAGAGTGTGTCCTGCATTATTTTGGTCTTATCAGCTTCCTCCTTTGCATCAGTTATAATCAGTGCCTTTTCTTCCCCAGAGACTAAGATGTTCAGGAGGGTTTGGACACCCACCCAAGTGGGGAAAGGACTGTGGAATATTCCTCAGACTAAATTGGGCAGGGAGGCCAAATGCCCCTTTGGTGTGTGTCCAGTTCTCCATTTGCTCAGCTACAAGGACCCAAGGACTTTGGACGATTTGGGGGTCCTTTTCTTGTTTTCCCAGTAGGCAAGGTGATTTTCCTGAAATCTGGCAGAAACATTTGTAAAGAGTTTGTGTCTGAGAAGGGATCCCTAGGGATCTGCAGTGGAGGGTAGTGGGGAGAGACCTGTCCAACAGAGACATGTACCCTGCCCCGGGATGGCAAATTGGGATACAACAGACCAACACAAAGGATGTGCTCTAGGATGTGCTCTTGGGTTTTTGATTACAGCCTGAAGGTGGGAATGCACCAGGGGTTCTGGAGGCTGTGCGCATTCACAGTTGCCTACTTACATTTTTTTCAGTCAGCAGGATGCCTAGTGCTCATCTACCCTGCTCTGTGACAGACTTATCCTTTCGTGGAAGTCTTCCAGTGGTAAGTGCCCCAGTGGCCTTTAAAAATGCTCAACGTGTGCCCACATTTGCAGCAAGGGGTTTCAAGAGCATTAGGACAGACAACAGAGACTGAAGCTTCAATCGTATCAAGAACAGACTAGGACGTACAACACACACAGAAAACAAAGAGATGTTCTTACCATGTGGTGGCCTCTCGTCCAGTCTAGTCCCCTTTTGGGGAACCAGTTCAACGAGACAGCCAATTGTTCAATCTCACTCACTAGTAGAGGACTGGCTATATTTAGACAACTATGTAGCTGTATGGATCCCAAGGAGGGGTCCATACAACTTAATTTGGCAAAAAAAGCAGTGTACACATTCAATGTAATCCCTCCAATATTCAAACTGCATTTCTCATGGAAACAGAACAAACAATCCTACCAATTGTATGGAACAACAAAGAACCCTGAATAGCCTAAGTGAGCCTAAGAGAAAAACACAGCTGGAAGCATCTCCCTCCGTGACTTCATACTACACTATGAAGCTATAGTAACTAAAACAGTGTAGTTCTGGCACAAAAACAGGTGTATGGGCCGGAGGAACCGAAACCCATTTGTACGTCATCAGTTAATTCATGACAAAGGAGCCAAGAACACAAGACAGGGAAAGGACAGTCCCCTCAATAAATGGTGCCAAGAAAGCTCTACACCAAACATCAAAGAACACCAGACACTGTCAACACCACACACAAAACTAATATCCACAATTTTCCACATCAAGCCCTTCCTCTGCTGGGTCCTCTGAAAATGGACACCCCCCCCGCCCCCCGCCGCTTAGCAGTAAAGCACACACAGGAGGTTTCTCCCCACCTTTTCCTCACCTTTTCGTCCCATGGTGGTGCCTCCTGGCAGTTCCTGAAGACATCTGGTTCCTGCCTGCATGGACTCAACAGTGTTGTCCCAATGCTGAAACCATGGCGGATCCTGAAGAGACTGAACTTCAATCAGCAGCATGAGAAGCCAAGTTCCTTCACAAGCCAAGTTCATCAGTGGAGCACATATGCACCTCAAGGATCAGCAAGGTGGGCGTACCACCTCCTGCTGGTCAACTGGGAAGTGCAGGCCACAACCTCTCAGTTCAGTGGAGCCCATGCTCCAAGCTGGCAAGCCTGCAGAAACCACTAAATTTGGAAATTCAAACTGAAATGGAGCCAAATATCCCATGACTTCTCCAAAAAGAGTTACAGAATAATTGGAAACCATATGCAATCAAAAGAATGTAGACACAAACTTTACAGCCTACACCAAAACTCACTCAAAATTGTCCACAGACAAATTTAAAATGGAAAACTATAAAAACTGTAGATGAAAACACAGAAGCAAATCTACATTACCTTGGATTTGGTGATGGATTTTAACACAAAACCTCAAAAGCCTATCCACAAAAGAAATAAAATGAACATGGACTTTAAAAATTTAAAACATTAGACTCCATGAAATACCTTATTCAGAAAACCAAAAGACATGCCACAAACTGAAAGAAAAATTATTTGCAACATGATAAAAGATTTGTACTCAAATTACACCAAAAAATCTAGAACAAACCTCCTTAAAAATGGGTGAAGATTAGAACAGACACTGGCCAAAGAAGATTATACAGACAGTAAATAAGCATACAAGAATATGCCCAACATCATATACCATTAGGGAATTACAAATGAAAACAGAGATAGCACTGCACACCTATTAGAATTAATAAACTCCAAAAAAAAGCCACTACTGATTGATGGGAGGTGAACAGGAACTCTCCTCTACTGCTGGTGAAATGCATATACAGCTACTTTAAAAGATATTTTGGAAGTTTTTTCCAAAGCTAAATAAGACTCACCTCAGGATCCAACATCCTGCCTCCAGTATTTAGACAACTGCTTTTCAGAACTATGTCCAAACGCAAACAAGGATGTAATTAAGCACAGCACTTCTACTCATAATGGCTATAAACTTAAAGAAACCAGGATGTTCTTCAGCAGAAGAATGCATAAGCAAATTGGGGTACCTCCATTTCAAGGGGAGTGGAATATGCCACCCCAATATGCCTCTTGGCATAAGGATTATTTTGAGCTGATTATTATTTTTTTTTTAAAAAGAAGACAACATGAGAATCTCTGAAAACCAAGTCAAGATTGCCCTTTTGTGAGGGAAATATATATATTTATAAGGGAAATCTCCATTTGAAAGGTTATCTCCCTTTCCATTACAAGGAATAGGAAGGATGACTAAATCTCAAGAAACTCTACCAATGGAGAAAGCTACTACTTAAATCTGCACAACACCCATACCCTTCCTTTCTTTTGTCTTTAGATGAAGATGGTATTTAAGGTGATGGTTTGGGCCATTTCAGGGCATTACTCAGTGTTCCTGAGTATCTCCCTTGCATATAGGAGGTACATATGTTATTAAACTTCTGATTATTTGTCTCCAGTTCATCTGCCTTTCATTTTTTATGGGGGGTAAGGAGGGGACCTCAATGAAGAACAAAGAAGGGTAGAGGGAAAATTATTTTTCCTTCCATATATACAATGGTATAGCAAAGGAGTGAACCCTCAACCCATGCAAAAACATAGATGAACCTTACATGTATATTGCTAAGCAGAAGAATCCAGTCTGAAGTGCTAAACACTGTATGACCCCATTTATGACATTCGGAAACAGGTAAAACAGACGGTAAACAGGTTATGGGTGGGGGACTTAAATATTCCATACAATACTTCAGTGATGAATACCTGCCACTATGCATTTGTCTAAACCCAGAAACTTTTACAGCCCAACAAATAAATCATAATGTATTCAATTTTAGTTATTTAGCATATGGGAGTGCCACAGGATGCATTACAGAATTTAACAAAAACTGATTTAGTAATGTATGAGAAAACCTCACTGTTGGTAGTGGGACAAAAGGTGCTGACCTTAGTAATTCTGGAAGTAAATGGAATCTCTAGACTAAATGCAAAATGTACTGTACCCAAACAGTGGACTCAAAGTTCTTTCCCTGCAGGCAGGAGCTAAGAATGTTGAAGCCACTGTATCTGTAATCTGGAATGGAACAAGCAATGAATTCAAAAAATGGAAGCCAGGTTTCTAACCATTGGAATAGGAAGCTACAGATAAGCAAAGGGAGAAGGTTACAATATCCATGTAATAATGGATCAGGGTGATGACATCTATATAAATTCATCTTTAGTTTAACATGGATACAGACAGTTCCACATAGAAATCTTTATAATTAGGTGTATATGCACAGGTTGGAATACATGCATATGTATTTCAGTGCGTTATCAGCTGAGTACATTTAGCTTTCAAACGTAAGTTTTTAATACCATCCTCTAATTAAAGGAATCAGGGCTCTTTGAAGAAATGGCTGCTACTAGGACTCAGTAAATATATGAGCCAGGATAATCTTAAAGTATCAAAGTAAAGAAGTACCAGCAGGGGGCTGGGGGGATGGACGACTCACAAGATGTTTTCATTTGACGTAATTCCATGAGACAGTGGAGAAAGCGCTCAACAGTCAAAGCAAGAATGAACTAAGCACCCAAATACTGTACTGTACTGCTGAATTATAACCACAAGTGTAAAAACTATTCAGGTGTCCACACTAGTAAAATGACTACAAACACTTTTTATGAACTGTGTTGAATAGAAATGTGCTATGCAGAAGAATTCCAAATAACTGATGTAGACACACAGCCAGCCAGCCATCGAGGAGGGTAACCCTCTTCTGAAGTGTGGGTTCTTCCTAAATAAGATACACAGCATGGACATGGGAAAAATAACTTCACAGCAGGGAAAACTGACAAACAGGACCTCAGCCACGTGACCAAAGTTAACATGAATGGTGATAAGTTGCCTTGAGAGCCTGTTCCTTTGACCTAAAATGATGAGAACGCACTTGACCTCTGTGATTTGCTTCCTCAAAACCCATAAACCCAGTCTAATCGTGACAGAAAAACACCACGTAAATCCCAACATGGGACAGTCTACAAAATACCTGACGAGTCCTCCTCCACAAAGAACAAGGAGAGTCTGAGAAACTGTCAAAGGCCAGACAGACATGATGACTACATGTTATGTGGTGCCCTGGATGGGATCTGGGACAGAGAAAGGAAAAACAAAGGGAATTAGAATAAAATATGGACTTCAGTTAATATATAAAAAGGTATCAAAATGTGTTCATTCATTGTGACAATTCTGTAGGAAGCTAGAAGGAAGGAAAAATTAAAAGTCAAATAAGAGAAAGCTATTGTATCAAACTGGAAATGTAGAGGAAATGGGTGATTTTGTAATAAAAACACATTAACAAAATGCCCCTAAAATAAGGCAAATACAAACGGACCAATTAGCCACCCAGGGACCCCTTTCCCCTGCTGGTTCTCCTCTCATTACTCTGGGGTTTCCCTCTTCTAGACAGGGAAGGAACAAGAACAGAGATGCCCAGCAGCTCCCCTAAGATCTGACCCCACCCAGTGTTGCCACCTCTGCCCACCATGACCCCCCAGGTGAGGACACCCTGCCAAAGGGAGCCTCAGGGATTATTGGTTCTGATGTGTCAGCAAGGAATTTTTTGATTCCAAGGGACTGGACACACTTACTGACAGGAAATAAGTTAATTTAATAAATTTCTTAATGATAGAAAATAATATACTTGCAAGAGGCAGTTATAGGAGTGGTTTTGAGCCTGGTGAGACAAGCTCACACTCTCACAGTATGACCTGGTCCCTTTCTCTTACTAAGTGACTTTGTGGTGGCCCCATCCACAGGCACAGTCTCTCTGCATCAGGAGCCTTCAGCAACTGCAGGCTAACACCCACTCATGTCCATCCTACTGGGAAGGGTCTCTCCTTCTTTAGGTTCCATGAAAAGTCATGGCTTTAAATACCTTTGCTCTGGCTTAGGTCATGGTCTCATGCTTGAACCCACCAGAGCGCCAAGAGGATGGAACATGGGATTGGCTAGAGGTGGATCATATGTCCATCTTCAAGGCGGGGTGGAACATGGGATCAATCCTCTGCAAATGTGTGGACCGGAAGCAGGCAAGATGTAATTCCCAAAAGCTGAGATGTTGAGAATAGATGCTGGGTTGCGGAAAGCAGCAGATACCACGTTACTGACAGCCTACTGCATAGCTGTGTATCTGAAGCCCAAGGAAGGACGGGATTCACTTAGGGTCAGGGGCTGTGGCCACTCATCCAATCCTGTCCTCCCAGTTTGGCAAGAAGCTCTTCCATTTGCTGAAAAAGCAACTTTGTTGCTGGTGGTAAACTCAGGGTTCCTGGTTTGGGCATCCGGTCCTCACATTTTAAAGACTGGCCAAGAATAGCCTGTGTGCCCTCAGAAGGCACACAGACCTCATTCCTGGCCCTGGGGGGTGGGAGCCATGCCTACCCCTTGGCCACATTACTCACTCACCCACAAGGAACAAATTTGCTCATTTTCCAGTCTCTTCTCTCTATGAAGAGCAGAGACCAACTACTAGAGTTGCAGTAGTTGAAATGAAACAGAGGGAGTCTCATGGATTATTTTATACCATGATAACACAGTTGGTGTCTTTCCAGAGACCACAGGGTATGGGCCAGGGATGCACATATCTCCCCAAGGCCATATGGCCACAACATGAAACTGCCTGCTAGGAGGCCCAGATGCTTCCATACCTTTGATTCTCAATGAACATGAATGTCAATCTTTGTTACAACCAGAAGGTCAAAGAATTTCAGGGCCACAGTCTGTTCACTATTGTCATGACCAGGGCCAAGCTCAACATCTGGAGGGTTATTACTTGTCTTGGCAGGCTAAGAGGCTGTAAGGGAAGAGCTATTTGTCTCAATGACATGGATGCTGGGAACTGAAACATCCCAAGGAACTGTCTCGGCTGCCCAGGTAGTTGTTCAATTACCCAGCAGCACAGTCAGTAACTGGCCACAGGGGGCTTGAGGGGCCAAGGCTGACCTGAGCTGGAAGGCCATGGATGTCTGCCTGGATGCTCAGAGGCCAAGGGCTGTTCTGAGTCCTGTTTCTACACCCATGCAGATGGAACAAAGGACACATCCAGTCCCAGGAGGGCCCCACCAGACCTCAAGAAGGCAGCACCTGGGGGCTGGCAGCTCAATGCACCCACTCCTGTATAAAATCCACACGTCGGGGCTTCCCTGGTGGCGCAGTGGTTGGGAATCCGCCCGCCGATGCAGGGGACACGGGTTCAAGCCCTGGTCTGGGAAGATCTCACATGCTGCGGAGCAACTGAGCCCATGCGCCACAACTACCAAGCCTGCGTTCTAGAGCCCGTGTGCCACAACTACTGAGCCTGCGTGCCATAACTACGGAAGCCCATGTGCCTAGAGCCCATGCTCCACAACAAGAGAAGTCACCACAATGAGAAGCCTGTGCACCGCAACAAAGAGTAGCCCCCGCTCGCTGCAACTAGAGAAAGCCCGTGTGCAGCATCGAAGACCCAACACAGCCAAAAAAAAAAAAAAAAAAAAAAAATCCACACGTGTCTACTGAGTACCCTGCATGTCAGGGCTCTGCTGGACGTGGGGCTGCCCTGACAGAGTGGGGCCTGCATCACCCTTCCCAGGTGGGAGCGTGGAGGGAAACCCTGCATGACCTCTGAGACCCTAAGAACACTTGGCTGAGGTTGAGTTCAGTTTGGAACAGTGAGTGGCCAGAGCAGACATTTCATTCATCTTCTATCAGAGCCCAGAACAGGAGAAGGAGAAAAGCAATGGCCTAGCTCAACCCTGACCCCTAATCCTGACACTGACCCTAACCCTAAACTCTGACCCTGACCCTAAACCCTGACCTAACCTTAGCTCTAGCCTATACCCTAAACCTGTACCTTACCCTAACCCATATTCATACCCATATCCTACCTGTACCCTAATTCTAACCCATACCCTAACACCCATACTCCAACACAGAACCCTAAGGCCAAAGACCCTGAGACCAAAACCATAAACCTTAACCAATAAACAAAACCATAACCATAATCAAACCGTAATGCTTATTAATTAACCATATGCATAAATAAGTCATAACCATAAAAATTAGATCGCAACAGCAAACATAAACCATGACCCAACTTGGCCCCCACACCAGTCTCAGCCCTAATGCTAACCCTCCAAACCACTAACACCAAACCAAATGAATAAAAATCACACAAATACATCATAAAAAAGAAAACAACAGCAGTATACCTTATAAATAGGAATGTAAGAATCCTCCACAAATAAGAGCATGAAACCAACTGAACATGAAACGGATGATGCCACAAGCAAATGTCTCTACACCAGAAAGGTCAGGTTGTTCAACATTAAAACTAAGCAATGTATTAAACCACAATAAAGGTGTGAAGTAAAAACACATGATCATATCAATTATTACAGAAAAAGCTATAATCAAAATCCAGTGCTATTTCATGATACAAACACTCGAGAAAGTAGGAATAAAAGGAAATTTGTTCAATATGGAAAAGAGTAGTATACAAAGCCACAGGAAACATCATGCTCAAGTTAAAGATTTATTCTTGAAATCAGAAACAAGGCCAGGAAGCTGGCCTTCACCACTGTTACTCAATAGTGTACTAGAGGTTCTACCCAGTCTTGAGGAAACAAATAAAAGGCACCCATGTGTCAATGGAAAAATTAAAACTGTGTCTATGCATGGAACACAGACTACATCATCTTATAAATAAAACTTCCTTTATTAACAAAAAATTATTTGAGCTAGTCAACTAATTCAGCAAAATTACAGGAAAACTATCAGGCTCGGAGTCTGACGTGGCTGACTGTAGGGAGCTCCACAACCCATTGGTACCGAACCACTCCCCTCAAAAATGATCCAATTCATGTTCAAACTGACAGGCTCCTGGATTAGAACTCACCTTTAAATGGTAGCAATAAAAAAAGCTTGGTGGGGAGTTGACCTAAACCCAATCCTAACTTGCAAAAGAAGGAAAGCTGAAGTTGAAGGTTTGATGCCATCAATCTTGTGACATATCTTACATGAAAAACATTAGCACACTAGACAAGAAAAGGATTACTGACCAAAACTTAAGGAAAACAGCTAACAGGACTTATGTGAGATTGATTCATTATAAGGAACTGGCTGACTGGCTCATGCAACTGCAGAGGCTAACAAATCTGAAGATCTGTAAGAACGGGCGATCTAGGATTGGTTCAAGATGGCAGAGGAGAAGGACGTGCTCTCACTCCCTCTTGCGAGAGCACCGGAATCACAACTAACTGCTGAACGATCATCGACAGGAAGACACTGGAACTCACCAAAAAAGATACCCCACATCCAAAGACAAAGGAGAAGCCACAATGAGATGGCAGGAGGGGTGCAATCACAATAAAATCAAATCCCATAACTGCTGGGTGGGTGACTCACAAACTGGAGAACACTTATACCACAGAAGTCCACCCACTGGAGTGAAGGTTCTGAGCCCCATGTCACACTTCCCAACCTGGGTCTGGCAACAGGAGGAGGAATTCCTAGAGGATCAGACTTTGAAGGCTATCGGGATTTGATTGCAGGACTTCAACAGGACTGGGGGAAGCAGAGACTCTACTCTTGGAGGGCACACACAAAGTAGTGTGCAGATCGGGACCCAGGGGAAGGAGCAGTGACCCCATAGAGACTGAACCAGACCTACCTGCTAGTGTTGGAGGGTCTCCTGCAGAGTTGGGGGGTGGCTGTGGCTCACCGTGAGGACAAGGACACTGGCAGCAGAAGTTCTGGGAAGTACTCTTTGGCGTGAGTCCTCCCAGAGTCTGCCATTAGCCCCACCAAAGACCCTGGTAAGGCTCCAGTGTTGGGTCACCTCAGGCCAAACAGCCAACAGAGAGGGAACCCAGCCCCATCCATCAGCAGACAAGCAGATTAAAGTTATACTGAGCTCTGCCCACCGAAGTAACACTCAGCTCTACCTACCACCAGTCTCTCCCATCAGGAACGTGCAGAAGCCCCTTAGATAACCTCATCCACCAGAGGGCAAACAGCAGAAGCAAGAAGAATTACAATCCTGAAGACTGTGGACCAAAAACCACATTCACAGAAAGATAGAAAAGATGAAAAGGCAGAGGGCTATGCA